CGATTGGCACGTTTAATATTATAATTCTATGTATAATGTTTAATAACAAATCAGAGCATTCAATGAATAATGTATTACTAAACAAGTCATAAGCCACAATTAACTATATTATAGAATTTCCGAATTCCAATGATTCGATTAAATATGTTGACTTTGCATACATAATTTATTTGTCTGTTCACATTGTATGCATTAAAAGTTTAGTTTGGAAATTATCAACTATTATGTGTTTAGAATTTTGGTATGAATAATACATAATAGTAATATTTCTAAAAATGACTCTATAGATATTATTTCAAAGTATATATATTTTGTAGTACTGTTATGATACAATTGCTTGGAAAAAAATATTTTTGCCTATGACTACCGAATGAGCTTCAAGACAATGAATATATACCCAAGGAAGATCTAGCAATAATTATTGAACTAAATTTGTTGTATAATAAATTTATTCATATTTATAGGTTTTTGTTTGTTTCAGACTCGGCTGTAAAACAACATAGCTACATTCGCTACATTATTCTAAACAATTTATTGAATACTATTTATGGAACGAATTATATCTCTATATCCTGTAAATACAAAAACATAAAACAAATCTTTTAAGAATTTAAGAAATCAATCCAATCAAAGTTGAGTCCGCAGATTCTGTTTGTGTTTCAATCCCATTGGGAATCGCTCTTGTTCAAACATTCAGTTTCAATCCGGGAATAACTTTTCACCGCGGTTCTTTTATTGGATTAGGAAAAATTGAATTTCAAATGGTATCAAATATTTAAAAATAAAATTTTAAATGCTATATATTCAAATATTTAATTCAATTCTTAATCAAGATCTACTCAAAAATCACTAGAAGAGCAAAAATGGAGCATACCGAAGGTTTTTCTAAAAGTTATACGTCGTATTTATCAGAAATTTTATATAGACATTGCTATAGTAATTTCATTATACACAATATTATTATACTTGAAGCTTTATCGGTAAACAAATTAAAGAAAATTTGTTGCAAAGAAAATAATCAGCTTGATTGCAAGAAGTTTTCTCGATCTCATTGTCTATTACAATCACATTATGTTTAATTAAAAACATATTTTAACTCTTAATTTATAAAACATCAAAGATAATGGAAGCCATTTGCAAATCTGTGAGTTTTCAATGGTACTGGATATAAGGATATGACTGACTAATATGCACATATTGTGTATATACATTTATGAACACTTATAATAAAAATTACAATAATTTTATAGATTTTATCCATTATCCAAAGGCTGGCTATCCAAAGTTGGTATTAAACTGAAACCTTGAATTGCAAGACTAAAGCTGCAACCCTAGAGCAACGAAACAGCCTGATTGTGAGAATACTAAAGGATTAAGTGAAAGCTCGGAGCATTCTATAAACAGAACTCTGAATTGTAAACAATATAATTTAATGGTGGTAAAAGTTAACATAAGCTTCAATGAGTGATTTTTATATACTATAAGAAACAGTGATAAATTTGCATAAATAAGGAACATTTTCTTTTGGTATAATATTACGTACAAGAGAATTCTACCGAGAAGATATTTTATTGCCGTTGAACGAGTACATACTTAACATTTTTTAAAGCAATAACAATATAAAAAGAAACACATTGATACTCCAAAGTCCAGAAAGCCTTAAGGGTAGTAATTTTCAAATGAGCAGAAAATCCTCGTCGCGTTGTCGACATTACAGAAGCTGCGCAAACAGACATTAGACGACAAGGCAAACATTTTAGAAATTTTCGGGAAGTATTTAACAAAAGCAAATAGAGACGCACGATACTGGTTTACAGAACTTTGTGACATATATGGAATAAAATAGTTTGATTGAAGTTTGTATTTATTTGCCTCGAGACAAATTCAAAGATCTGCAAGTTCGCCAACTTACGCAAATAAAGATGTTGGCACACGTTTGAAACTCTTATGCAAATAGCATGATGCAACTAAAAACAATCTAAATGCACACATTTGGTACATTTTTATATTTTTGTTGATTGTCACGAATAGGGTAAATTTTTTTGGAAAAAAATACTTAAATAAATTAGAGTTGATTTAATAATTTAAAGTTGACAACCATTTCTTAAATGCTCCATAATTACTAAAAATAATTATTCTAGTATCCAAAGCACAATTTATTGTTCTTATTGTACGTTTCGCATAACAATAATTTTATGAGCAGATTCTTTAGCCATTACATGTTATAAGTACGTTTTCACTTCAAGCTAAAATATGGCGGTACACCGCAAAGGGGCAAAACCAACAAAAGAATTTATGAAATTAATATTTTTTAAAAACTATTTAAAAATTTAAACGATCCACAAAAGTCCCCGATTTTTACTATGTTTGTTTCTCTTTCAGTACAATATCTAAGTACCAGTTAAATTCTCATAGCGGCACTTTGTAAATGAGACGCTTAAGAGATAATACTAATTTTCCGGTCAAAGAGCCATCATCCGATCCTGTTAACAAAGTGTAATATTTTTTAATTCCAATTAGCATACATTTTAGTAAAACGGGTATTTGCTGTTCAGCGCAGTAACTCAGAGGACGATCGAGAACGGATAATCCACCTTGTTGGATTGCCCTGGCTTAACTCTTCTTTGCAATTGAACTGCAACCGAAAAAAACAGATTTTGTATGCATTTCAATTAGGAATTATAGCAGATTACAAGAAAATGAATTGCTCAATTAATACAATTATCAACAATATAATTCATATATATTAAACATTTTGTTATTCTGTGAAATATATTTGAAAAGGACTAATAAGACAAAGGATTCAAATTTTGGATGACTTGAGCAAAAGAAAAAAAATACCGCGAATTAGAAGCTGAAGTCACGAAAGCAGAATTTTGAGACGTAAAATTTACAAAAGTAAACTATAAACAATTTAGAAACAAAATGAGTATTTTCCACAATAAACTCATTTTTGATTTCGTGATGTATGATATTTCTTCTTATATATTAAACATTTTCTCTTACCTCCTGAGGATGAAGATACAAATTTTTGTACATTGAGAGCACTATCATACGAGTAACATATCACTTAAGTAAATTAATTGTTAAAAATGCAGAGGATACACTTCTGTAAGCAAGTGATAAGGATGCTTTCTGAAGAAAAAGTTTATATTTTCGCCGGAAAATCCGATTGTTTTATCTTTTCCGGACGTATTAAGCCATTCTTAATTATTTGATAACAATATTAGAAAAAGCATGTGAGACAGAATGTGAGTTCTTCTTCAACTTTTTTTCTGAAACAGCTGCAACCGATACCAAAATTTAAAAGCCATTTGTTGAACTATAATTATACTTGAAGAATTGGTTGAGCCATCACAGTTCACTAAAAATTTAAAGTTTTATACAATTGTTGAATGTCAATTCACCCACAATTTTCACATTTGAAATATATCACTTTTCCAGTCAATATTATTAAAGCACTATCAATATCACAAAAGTGTAAAATCATTTGTTGAAACTTAATAAAGACGATGGGCCGAGCAGTTTATTTATAATTAGCTAATAAGTGCAATTTTTTGTCCACGTTTTTGACAAAACATTTGAACCAGTTCTAGAAACTCCAAACTTTTCGAAAGATGTGGATGTTGGAAATCTTGCTGATTAATTTTTGAACTTTTTTTGAAATTGTATGGTACTCATGGTATTAACGAACATCCTGAACTATCATAAGCCTGCAAAAAGTGGTTTAATTATAAAAATTCATCAACGTTTAGAATAATAAGCTGTGTTAAAATATCAAATTTATATATTCACAATCTCAACATTGCTAAAACTCAATTCTTATTGATTAAGTCTATTATTTATACACATCGGTAATGCAGAATGCCTTAAATTAAAATGCCACTTACTCCTAGTTGCCATTGTACTAGTAGAGTTTAAGAATAGTGGTATATATGTTTCAAATATATTTCCAAACTCCAACAAAAGATATTAAATTTTAATCCATGCAAATTTTGTTGTATGCTACGTATTACTGTCATAAAAAACCTAATAAGCGAATCACAAAAATACAATCCATGCCATAAGTAACATTTAATTACATAATACTCCTATACCCATATGTATTTCATCAATACTCATACGTACGCAACAATGCACATCAAACAGGCATATCTGACATATGTACTTGGTTTGGTATGACATAGTTGTACGCGAAACATGACTATCCTCCTGTATTATTACCGTAGTAGTTTCACATTCCGTCCCTTTCCGCTTTACATCAGATCTATCTGTATCGGTGAGCTTATTTTCCGCTCCGATAAACAAATAGTGATTATATTTGAATAAACACGCTCCGCCCCGAAAGCTCTTCCATGTCGCGAGCACCCTTTGTGAACGACGGTGGAAGGGATGATGTAGGGGCGTCGCTGAGCGCGGACCGAGCTTTAAAGCACGGCGAGAAGTATACGGTTCGGAAACGGAGTGATAGTTAACTCAAAACCACCCTTCTTAAAGCACTGGCTAACACGGAAATTCGGATAATTGCTGCTTATCTACGATTTATTGGAAAAATATAACAGACTATTTCAATTTGATTTTACACATTTGTGATATTGATAGTGCATTAATAATATTGACTGGAAAAGTGATATATTTCAAATGTGAAAATTGTGGGTGTCTTGACGTTCAGCAATTGTAAAACAAAACTTAAGATTTTCAGTGAACTGTGATGGCTCTACTAATTGTTCAAGAAATATAATTATAGTTCGAAATGTAATGTTTGAATCATAGTTGATTTAACTTCATATTCAACTTGACAAACGTTATAAATTGCATAATATTACTAATTAATAAAAATATTTTATTAGAGGACTTATAGAAAAATGACTTTATAACAAGTGTTAATTATAAATAGCATCTGTGCAACAGTGTATTTGTATATTTTCTAAATCTTTTCTATTTATATATAATAATTTTCTCGATCGTGTTCCCCAAAAAAACACTAAAATTAAATTACAATGGTAGAAACAGCACCCAATTCCTTGAACAATCGAGCAGTAGAATACCGCGGTTATCTCCACACCGCTATGCTTCTTGGAGCGGCAGCAAACCAGCGCCAACACCAAGAAGAATCCTCCACCTCCGACAAAGGACCGTCGGTTGGCGCTTCGTCAATTTTTACGATTGACAGTATATTGGCATCACCGCCTCGAGGAGACAGAAGACATATTGGCAGCAGCGATACAATTGCTGTAAGTCCAGCTTCATCACCTGGTTCAAATGCCGGAGATAGGAAAGATGGTGAACTCTTCAGAGATTTTAGATCTTCTCCCGTGTTACCTGGACATCAACACCATCATCCGGCGGCGGCTTTGCATTTAGGACACTTGGCAGCAGCAGCCGCGTCCGGTTTTGGAACTACTTCAGATTTTCTTGGTCAGTTCATTTAAAAATGGTTTATTTATATACTCTTTATTTATAATAAATATTGTATCTCACTATAGCTTATATCTTTGTAATAAATACAACTATTTTTACAAATCATTAAACAATTAGAACTAGATCGACAAACATTCACTAATTTTCGTATGTGAACATCAATTTCAATCACGGTTATATTACGTAAAATGATAAGAATCGCAATAAAGTATTATAATATAATAATAATAAATGTGCAATATAAGCAATATACCGGTAGATTAAAACAGATATTTTGTTTTCGAAAAAGCGTCAACACTTTACTAACCAATTTTTTCATAAAATCATCTGCTTTTATTTGCTTTCGCATTTTCTATAAAATTAAGACAAAAAACCATTTGTATCCTATAGGGATTATTTCCATATCATTATTACCGCGTTTTTGCATATATTAAACAATGAATTATAAATCATTTCTTATATTGAATTTTTCGGTAAAGCTTTTCCGAATATTATAAAACGCATAAATATTTCATTCAATAATATTATTATGTATCACTTATTTCGAAACATCAGATTCCATGATAATTCATTCATGTGTAATAAAGCTCGGCTTCGTAGGTAAAAATGAATCCCAATACAAAAGCTGAATTGGAATCTTCTCAGAAATCACTGAGCGCGCATGCAAATATCTAGGGTAGATTTTATTCTTAAGGTATTTCGAAAGACTCAAATATATCAATTCATAAAACGATCCACAAAAACATCCTATGAAATATTATTGAAAATGTACTCAAAAGAAGCTAATAACAAACAAAACTTATCTGATGCATTATAAAACCTATTCATTACATCATTTCTATTAATTAGTAATTAAATTATATATTTATCATTCCATTCTATTTCATTTAGATTTTTAATATACTATAAATCAGTTAAGAAGAAAATGACCTAAAAGTATCTTAAAATAAATTTGTAATTCAAAGAAAGATTAGAAAATAATTTATAAAAAAAGATGCATTATTCAATATTTTTCGCGAAAATATGGCTTTCGCAACAAGCGGGTTGTTATCTCATAAAAAAATAAATTATAATACCTACACTTTTACCCTGAAGCAAGTCGGCGCTGTATTTATCCCAGCTGAAGACTTGTCTTATAAATTAAGATATACGCCCAAGCAAATATCACGTGGGTGCAAAATCGCGTCTAATACACAAATATTTTAAACAGTACAATCATAAAAGTACTTCATGATTGAAGTAATTTATCATTTTGATCATATTGTACCTGCTGATTAAACGCATATTTTATAATAATTTACTATTTATTACAATTTTACAAAAGTAGCATCTAACACTCAAATTTCCCTTCAAATTTAAATTATCATGATAAATTAAACCTAAATTTAAATTCAATTATGTACATAACACCATGAGCCTGCCTTCGGGTAGACTACTATTTATTATTATTATGTACATAACTAAATCGTAAGAACGTCCATGGTATTCCACATCAAATTGTTGATTAGTAATTCCAGAATATCAAATTCACTTGTATATTTTGTAACTACTAGCAATAACAGTTCCAAATGCTAATAATGTAGGCAAATTTTTGTTAAAGTTATAGAAGGAACACTAATTTAAAATTAAAAAAGAAAATTTACTTGAAAACTTTATTAGAAAATATTTCTAAAGCAAAATTGATTCAAAAATTTTTCTCCCATGACCCATGGTTTAAAATTTGTTATGGATTAAATTATGTTTTTACAGTTGCGAGAAGATTTTCATACTATGAGTTTTATGAATATACCCTGAAGCGGTTTTCACTGTTAGGAAAGAAAAACACTTTTCCAATCTTTCATAGAGTCGCATTAAAAACAATTCTCGTCGGATCGGATATTGGAATAAAAAGAGCAACTGCAGAGCTTATTGCTTTAATGGAACTATATGTACATAATCGAACATGCGCCAAAGTTCAACCTCACAATTCTGATAAATAATAAATGTACAGATTGAAAACGCTCATATTAATTTTTAGAATAATAATGCTTTCAAAAATGGAAGGGAGTGATTGCGCGTTAATTTAACGACCGCACGTATTTGATATATGTATATGGTCCTGAAAATAACAAATAAATTAAATATTATCGTCATATTAAACAGTTATACAGAATTTGCAGTTAGACTGGCAAAATGTATATTAATAATAATAGAGTAATAACTCCTTGCCTAATGTAAGATATATAAATAATTCAATCATAAAAATAATTAAATTTCTAATAAAGAAAAGATAAAGATGTTAGACTTGATATTTTAGTAGTGTATGTGAAATATGCTAAACCATTAACAAATGAGGTAATATATATTACAGCATAACTTTTAACATTTGAAATTTGTAATAAGTTAAGAATAAATGTAATGAGTTAAAATCTTATTTGAATATTCATATTAAAAAGATTTAAATATCATATATTTAGAAATATTAACTGATTATATTAATCATATGGTCAAATGTAAATTCTACAGCAATACATTAATATTAAATCTAGAATTATTTTTTTCTCTTTTCAGCAGTAGCATATCCCAATTTCTACCCAAATTATATGCACGCTGCTGCAGTAGCGCATGCGGCGGCGGCCGCGTCTATGCACGCAAACGACGGCAGCGTTGGTACCGGCGGTGCCCCTCACCATTTGGTGGTAGGTCACCATCCTGGCCACCATCATGCGGCCGCTCATCATCATCATTTAGCGATTGGTGGCGTATTAGGTGTCGGTCAGCCGCATGTCCACGGACCGCCACCTAAACGAAAGCGGAGACACAGGACCATATTCACAGAAGAACAGTTAGAGCAGTTAGAAGCAACTTTTGATAAAACACACTATCCAGATGTTGTGCTGAGGGAACAGTTAGCACTTAAAGTTGATC